TAATGCAAATAGAAATAAAAAAAAGCTTGACAGATTGTTAAAAATATATTACCAAAACGTACGTGGGTGTCGATCCAAAGTGGAAGAATTGCATGCGTCTGCCTTCGAAAGGGAATTCGATTTAGTCTGTTTAACGGAAACGTGGCTGTCGGAAGAAATAGCTAGTTCAGAACTGTTTCCTAATGATTATGGTGTTCTTAGGAGCGATCGTAATTTTAAAGCAGTTGGTGTATCTCGAGGTGGTGGAGTCTTATTGGCCTACAACTCAAACTTTATTGCTGAACGTATTAATCTTGATATACTACAATCTCGACATCCTTGTATTGACATTGTTGGAAGCAGTATTATTTTTAATTTTAAGAAAGTTTATGTTTTTGTATTGTATATTCATCCCAGAATTTCATATGTTGAGCTGGACTCATTTCTAAATCTCTTTCATGAAACCATTATTCTCGAAGACAACAAAATTATACTAGGCGACTTTAATATTCCGCATCTTAATAATGTTACGGTTAATGATAATAGCAGGAAGATAATGATGGATTTCTTAGAATTTTCAAACATGTCACAATTTAATAATATCGTTAATGTTAATAACAGACTTTTAGATCTTGTTATTGGTGACGTAAAATGTGAGGTAAGTAGAGAGTTTAACCCTATATTAATTGAGGATGTTTACCATCCTGCTTTAGTTGCGAACGTTATGTTAATAAAAGAGAATGTACCATATTTTCCAAAAGTTTCCGATAACCTAAAATATAACTTTAAAAGAGCTAATTTTCATGGACTTTATATGGCTCTGCTTGGTGTTGACTGGGAATTTTTATACAATTTTAAAGATGTTAATTTAGCCTGCAATGAATTTTATAAAGTTATTTATAACATTTTAGATTCATTTGTCCCCAAATTTAAATTCAAAGTTAATTTATCGGCTAAATACCCAAATTGGTATACACCTGATATTATTAAATGTATTAAATTAAAAAATAAATACCACACAAATTTTAAAAAATTTAATAGTGAAAATGATCTTGTAATGTTTCAGAACCTGCGAAGATCTTTAAAATCGAATATTAGTGATGCGTACAAAAACTACATAAATAAGATCGAAACAAATATTTCAAATGACCCCAAAAACTTTTGGTCTTTCATTAATTCTAAAAAAGGTCAAACAAGGATTCCAGGCAAATTGTATGATGATACTGGTCAGTGCTTTAATTCTCCAGATACTATCGTCAATGCTTTTCAACATTATTTTCAAAGTGTTTACTTGCCGACAAATAATGTCAATAAAATTTATAATAACAAGGCTTCTATTGCTTCTAATATTTTAATAAACGAACTACATGAAAATGATATTATTCAGGCAATCAAAAAACTTAAAAACAAAGATACATCGGGTGATGATCAGATTCCATCCTATTTAATCAAAGACTGCGTACAAATATTTTGCAAACCTCTATTATGTTTGTTTAATCTATCCTTAAAAACATCAACTTTTCCAGATATGTGGAAGGTAGCCCGATTGTGTCCAATATTTAAAAGTGGTGTTAACAATTTGATCAACAACTACCGACCTATAGCTATTTTATCGAATTTTTCAAAGGTTTTTGAAATTTCTTTATATATGCGTATCTACCCCTCAGTCAAAAACTCTATCTCTCTTTACCAACATGGTTTTATGGAAAACCGTTCTACGGTGTCTAATCTTACTTATTTTACTCAGTTTACCTCTGCAGTACTGGATAAACGTGGACAGGTAGATGCGATATATACAGATTTTTCAAAGGCCTTTGATCGCATATGCCATTCTATTATTGTTTCAAAGCTTGAATTGTTTGGATTTTCGGAATCACTTCAGGATTTCTTTGCCTCCTATTTAAGTAATAGATACCAGTATGTTTCCTACAATGGTTTTAAGAGTTTAAAGTTTTTATCAACCTCGGGTGTACCACAAGGGTCCAATCTAGGTCCTCTTCTTTTCACAATCTTTATTAATGATATAGCTGATGACATTGTTTGTGAAAAGCTTTTATTTGCTGATGACTTCAAAATCTTTCAAGAAATACGCAGTGCTGATGACTGTAAGATTCTTCAAAAAGAATTATGCAAGATTGAAGACTGGTGTAAAAAAAATCAGCTGGGTCTCAATGCAAATAAGTGTAAAGTAATTACATACACTAGAAAAAAGAGTAAAACGAACTTTGATTACACCTTAAACCAAAATTTGCTTTCCCGTGAAACTGCCATTAAAGACCTGGGAGTCTTATTTGACAACGAATTTAACTTTCTCGACCACATTAATAGCATAACATCATCTGCTAACAGAACCCTAGGCTTCATAATTAGAAACACCAAAAACTTTAAATGTGAAATGGCGTTTAAAACTTTATTTTATTCATTTGTACGATCCAAGCTGGAGTACGGTTTTCTAATTTGGAGTCCTATATACGCTACTCATATAAATAGTTTGGAGAAAATACAACGTAAGTTTTTAAAATTCTTGTCTTTTAAACAAAACCATGTGTATCCATCTCAAGGTTATGATCACTTGGCTCTTTTGAACGAATTTGGGTTCAGTTCCCTGCAACTGAGAAGAACTATATTAAGTGTTAAATTTTTGTATAATTTGGTACATAACAAAATAGACGCCCCTTTATTATTAAATCAAATAAATTTTTTAACACCACGTAACACTCGAACCAACCTCACATTTTATTGCCCAAACGCTAAATCAAATGTTATGCTTAAGTCACCGATTTATTTTATGTGCAATAATTTTAATAAATATTGCAATAATTGTGATATAAACTTTCAAAGTATTGGAGTCATAATGAATCACTTAAGTACACATTTTTTTACGTGATTTTATTATATTTTTTTGTATAATATTATTTTATAGATATTAGGAATTTTTATTATTATTCTTTTTTTTATGTAATTGTTCTGTAATTGGATGTTATATCTGTTGAACAATAAACGTTATTATTATTATTATTATTATTATTATTATTATTATTATTATTATATATGGTTAACGGATTGACTTCCTTTTCCCGGACACCCTGTATATTTTAATCAAAATCACTTTCATAGTCTAAAATATTTTTAGATGATACACTATTTCGGTCACTGTCATGAAAGTCAGTATCCGGTTCATTTGTTTGTGATTCAATATTATTATTAGTTCTTAACTGTGGCAAAATTTTGCCGGGTCTACATCTGTCGCAGGAGTCCGATCGCAGAACATGAGCTTGCGCAAAGCACCCCGCGGCTTGGCGATGGAGCAAGGTTCTTTTGTCACCTGCGACAATTGTAGACCCGGCTTAAGAGATCATTGATCACGTCGTGCGCTCATCGCGTGGGCGCGCACGGCTGTGCTACTCATATGCAAAATCACATTCCCTGCACATGCCAGGAATATTCCCAGGAATATTCCAATCGTCCCAGAATATTCCCAGGAATATTCCTGGCATAATCAAATGTCCGCTTTTTGATTAACCCAGGCAACATAAAAAGAATATTCCATATATCTGCCTGCAGAAGACTCAAGGATTATTAGGGGAATATTCCTTGATATAATTTGGGGATTATTCCCAGCCCATATTGCCTCTTATACCCAGGAACTTAACTTAAGTATAGCCATTTTGAGTTACTGAGTAGATCAGTCCCACTCTAATCATTGTTTGGCTGTGCCATCACAGACGCTCATCTCCAACTAATATTATTAACCTATCGGTATATATAGTTATCAAGCGTGCGTAAGCAACGGTGAGAGGTATTGCAACTAAACTAATGAATATTCACTGGGAATATTCTTAGATGATGCTTGGAAGTTTTAGAGGATCATTCTAGGAATATTCCCAATGAATGGCTGTTTATTTGTGTTTGTCCTATTGTGTATTAGTCCTTCGGAGGGGACTTTAACCCGCACAAGCCATTCAGTTGGCTTATGGGACTTCTTAAGAAGTAATTACTTCTTACCCTTAAGAGTGGAACTAAAAGAGCACAATTGTATTTTTGTACTCCAACAATTCTAAAGATAACTCTCTGCGCATTGCTCTGCTGTGCTCACTTATCCGGTCTATAATATGGTCATTATTCAACGAGTTTAGCATTTTGTTTCCTCTCTAATTAGAACAAAAGACTCCAAATTATCATCGCTCAGGAAACCCAGGTAGCACAACGTGACGAAACCGTGACAATTTGTGTCCAATTGGACACAATGGACACAAATCGTCACGGTTTCATCACGTTTTGCTACCTGGGAACTTATAAACAATATACAATCTCGAAAAAAGAAACAAAGCTGGCAGGCTGACATGCATAATATGTATAAAATAATTATGATATTTACACAAAACTCAACTAAAAAAGTTTTTAATTGACCACGTGCTGCGGCCTGCTGCCTACATAGCCCTCCGGACCACCGGCCCACCGGGATTTCTCCCGGTGTCCCGGCGGCCCAGCACGTAAAGGTATGAACAAAAGGACAATAAAAAAAATATTTCCAATATCGGTCAAAAAATATTCAGACTTCTTAGTTCTTATATGTTTATAAACAGATATTTATCAGATGGGTCTTATCTACCAAAAATCATCTTTTAGATGTTCCCTTGAAATAATGGTAAAGATATCCGGAAAAATATACCTATCTAAATAAAATCTTTTAAATATCTTATTTAAAATGTCTTTAAAAATACCTAGGTATATAGGCAAAATATATTTTATCTTCGGCCATTGCAAAGATATTTATTTTCACCAGGGATTATTACGCAAATTCTTTGGTTCACAAAACAACAAAAATATTATTATATGTATCGAAATAATGGTAATAATAAAACTAATAAATTGATCAAATAAATGTTTCAAAATTCGCAGGCTACAGACAAGGGAAAAGTTTGAAAAATTCATCATCGCGATGACTCACAGTCCCTCCCCAAGCAAAATAAAAGAGAACAGCGACAGCCGGCGCGCCGTTGCACGATCGCCGATCATTTCGAATCGAGTTGCAGTCGAGTGTTTGTAGTCAGCTGTCTTACCGGTTAAAAAGTACAGTTACTGTATCTCTGCATATACAACAAATTATCTTTTAATTTAACAACTACTTCAATCCCAAAACCATAAAGGTAAGATTTGTACATACATATTTACATTTTTAGGTTTATTTGTTGTTTATTTTGATCAATTATACTTGTATTTTGGTTAGTTAGGGTGCGGTTGTAAAGACGACGGTTTCGTTTATAGTTTTGTTTTTTATTGAGGACGAATCAAGAGAAAAAAAATCCCACTTTTTGTTCGTTTCTGCATAATATGGCGAAAATTATTTTTAAGAAGTTAACCAAAATATTGCACTGTGTATCGAATTTATTAACCATTATTCTTAATAATATTATCTGTACACTAAAACTATACGTTGTTTGCCAAATATATTAGCAATAGTTTACCTACCTACCTAGTATTTATAATAAAAACTATAATTTTTTATGACGTGGTAATCTAACAGGAAATGTTGCAGACTTCAACCGGAATACGAACAATACAGGTGTATTGGTACGATTTATCTTTTTAAAAGGGGTCAAGCAATTGTTTACATTTATAAAATGTCGAAAAATGTTTAAAATTTATGTATGAGACCTTTCCATTGTTTCTTTTGTTATCAACAATATAGTTTTGATGATTACATAGTTAACATAACTTTCTGTGACTAATCGCCATTTTTTTTTAAATTTCTTTGTCATGATTAAATTTTTATCATCTTGAATAAATTGTTCTTGCCTATGTAGATATTTCGATTAAATACACTTTATCAAATTCTTGAAACTTTTCCCTGTGGTGTAATTTCCGTTTTAACAATTAATGATTTTATCATTCTTTAAACCATGATGTGGTACCTAGAATGTAAATAAAATTTATTTAGGCTATTTTATGAAAAAAGTTCAAATTGAAATTCATACAGGGTCTTCCAAAAAACATGCTTGAGATTCGTCATACAAAAATAAGAAAAAAAGTTCATATAAACGTATGCTTAGTTTTCAAGATACATTTAAATATCGTTTGACCGATTTTGTTGAAATTTGACAACGGTATTAATAGTCCAGTCCCGTCCCGGGAGGCACCTTGACAAATATTAGTGATAAAAAAGTACGCCACTGACTTTACAATTTTTTAATTTTTTTATGATTAAGTCACAAAATACAACTTTTTTGTCTCTTGAGTTGATTTTGTATTTTACCTCGGTTTCGCAATATAAAAACCATATTATTGCATTATAATTGACAAAAGGCATATTTTGCACCTTGATCCAGATAAACAAAAATTACCTCTGATAACTTTTTGATAAATCCTGTCGTTTTGGAGAAAATTGAGAAAACGGATAAGTAACGTACCCAAATTTTAAAAAAATCGGGTAATCAAAATTTAAGATATTTAAATGTATCTTGAAAACTAAGCTTTTCCGGACCTATGTTGTATTTTTGGATTTAAAGATTTTCTATCCCTTTCACACAAATTTTATTGTTTGGTAAATTTTTAAGATAATCAAGAAAACATTAAAAGTCTGATGGATCTTTAAATATTTTCTTTTGTTAAGGGTAATTCATTCGTATATTTACGATAATTTTTTTTTATTTTATATAGGTAATTTAGTTTCCTCAAATATGTAAGTACATTACGAAATAATAGCGCAGGGGCGAAAAGAACTATTGTAAACTATATAATTGTTATTAATGTTTATTATTTATTTAAGTTCCTTGCGGTAGTTTAATAAAATATTCTATGCGTCTATTGGTCAAAAGAGAAGATTCCCACTAGTCGCACAATATACTATTTTAAACATATAATATATTTTTTTTAAATATGTCATTAATAATAATAATTGTCAGTGTTCGTTTACTACTGTGGGGCGATTCCATGATTACTAACGGGAAATTTTTGAAGATGTGTTGTTCCTATAATAATAATTTTATGCCAGTCCTCAGCAACGAAATTAAGTAATAATAACTATTATAAAATTATTATTATATGACCTACACATCTTCAAAAATTTTCATAAAACATTTTGTCTTGTTTTTGTGTGTCCCGTTAGTAATCATGAAATCGCCCTGTGCCTAATTATAATTATAGGACCCTGATTTTTTATTAAATAAAAATAAATTGTCGCCATTAAGACAGCTCGGCCCTACGCCCGGATTATAGGCATATGTATTATGAATTTTAAACGGATTTAGTAACTAACATTTTATATAAATTATATAAATACATTAAATATATATATATATATATATATATATATTATAAATTATGTTTAATTAAGTGAAGGTCTTGGCTTAAATATAACTACACTCCACCCGAAATTAAGTTAAATCTAGTTTACTGTGGGCGAAACTAAAAGGTCAGTACAATTTTCATATAAAATTTTCAAATATTGGCGTTGAGAAACTATTTAATACTTTTGTATTTATGTATTGAGATAATAAAATAATTTCCACATTTAGTATGATTTTAACGATTGTATGACATTTGACAACTGTCAACTAACTTCAGCCCGTGACTAAAACGCTATAAAGCTACAACTTGTCAATTTAAAAGGTCACTTAGTGGCATGGAAACATGTACGATAATGGGCGTTTTAAAGGTGGGAGTAGAAAAAAATATTAAAATTGCAACAGAATAAATAACTTAACACTCTGTATTTCGAAAACCAAGCAAGATTATGGAAACTATAGCTTTTCTGAGGGCCGGTTTATCAATCTCTGGTTAAGTTCCAGTTAGTCTATCTGACAGTTAAATTCCATATCGATCATTGTGAGATTATCCATGGAGATCTGCCATGGAGATTATCTGCCAGATAACTAACTGCAACTTTAACCGTACATTGATAAACCGGCCCTGATATTAGGAAAGGTACCTAACCATGTATTTAAGTAGGGTTTTAAAATAAAACACATTAAAAATGTTATAATTACAACTAACTATTTGGTATTCTAACGTATCTTACCGTGACTAAAATATCGTTTCTTAATTAATATTTTAAGTTCATTGCACTTTTTATACACAAAAAACCTAAATTAACATTACACGGTCGTAAAGTATACATACACTACATATTCATGTAATTTTGTTTAATTAAACATGCATAGTTAATTTAATAAATAATAAATTTCTTATATTAAAAAAGTACAAGAAAAAAATACGTTTTGAAACCCATCATAAATTAATGAAATATTATTTAAGAATCAAAGCAACAAAAGCCAGTACTGTATTATTCAGTGAAAACAACATTCATCAAATTAAAATTCCACATGCGACTCTAATCATCCTTAAAATGCAGACGCCTCGCATTTTAACAGTTCGCTTTTTTGCCATCAGGCTTTTCGGTTGGAAAAGCGGGCTCAGTACCGAACCCCGTGGAACTTCTTCCCACGGGACGCCCACTATGACATTGCCGAAGCACATGTGTTGTGCACCGGCTGAATTTCAAGGCTGGACAAGGTGGAAAAAAGTAGGTTACGCTGGGTCCGGTGTAAAGTCACGTGCAAAATAATAATATAGTGTTGATATAAACTCTTATTGAAATAGGTATTGCATTTTTTCTTTTGCTCCAATTTAAAGTTTTTTATTTTAAGAATTGATATTTAATTGTTTGTTTTTTATTTAATTGTTTATTATAGTACAACAGGTTCCTTAATAAAATAAATTATTTTATTCAAATCCTAAAGTTCTACTTGATTGTCAGTTAAAATTATTAGACATTTTAATTTTGGTAAAAAAGGTAAGTGAGTGAGTGGGGTGCGGAAAGGATGACAAAAGAAAGCGTAGCCGATGATTTTTAAAAACAATATTTTTGGTTTGAAATTATAAAAACAAATATAAAATGTCCACAAGTCGTGTTACACCTAATTGCTATTTATCTATAACTAGACTAGAAGGATCAAATTAAGGTTATTTGTTAACCCTTCTTATTTATTTTAATCGTTATTTACGTAACTAGTGCTAATTTTCCACACGACGCCTAGGAGTTCGGTCAGCAGTCGAGTGCGGAAAAGACACTTTCCTAGTGTGTTATGTACAATATTTTTTCTATAAGCAAGGGAATCTCAGAAGTTTTCATTTCAAAAAAAAATATTTTTTTATTTCTGGTGAAATTATTTATTTACCTAACTAGTGCTGAAAGTACTTCTTTTCCGCACGCGACTGCCCGGTAGTCACTGCCGTTGAACGAACGACGCGTTCGGTCAGCAGTTGAGAGCGGAAAAGATACTGTCCGCCCGTGTAAAGTACATTACTTTTTCTACAAGCAAGGGAATCTCGCTAGTTTCCATTTACTTTTCGCACGCTTGTAGAAAATATTTTTATTAAATATAACCATGGGCGTACAATTTTGAGGGTTTAAATATATAACTATCAGTTGACCCCCTTACAACAATTTAGAAAAATATTTTACATTAAAAGACAGACAGTCTTCAAGGGTTACCATATAATCTAAAATTTATCATCCTAGATAAACAGGAATTTAAGTAATATTAAAAAATTATAAGTATCAAAAGGCCATCCACAGATCCACATCCACAAATCATTTTTAAATTAGACAACTTTGTACTATATCTAATAAAAAATAAATGATATTAAGTTTATTTACGTTTTTACCTATAGTTGAATTTTTATAATTTGTCCATTACGTCATCAAAGTAAAATGTTAAGAACCTGTTTTCCGACATACGTACCTATTATATATACGGCGTAACTGCGTAAAGCAGACGAGCCCTGGGAACTTTCAGCGTTTTAAGCCTTTAGTTTCGTTTGGAATTAATTCAGCTATTTGTATGTATGTACCTGTACCTTTAACTTTATCCCGGGCTTAACGACATATTATATACACTTAGCTCGAATTTGGCAACATGTGGTTTTTAAGGTCGCTGATTAAAATTTTTTATAAACAAATTTGCGAATCCAAAATTTTTACAAAAAAGGCTCTTTAATTTTTAAAAACTTTAAATGCAATATGTTTAAATCTATTAAAATAACCAAACAAAAATTAATATTAAAATAAACATTATTTTATAAATCTCAAAAACTTTAAAATATCTAAATTATCTAAAATTTTTCAAAAATTTTAAATTTAAATTTG